GCAGGCAAGAAAAATTTTTATTTAAACATTTAGGAGTTGAATTTAAAGTGAATATTAATTGAGGTTAATTATTTGGTTGTCTACAACTAGTTGTATTAACTAAATTATTATTCTTCAAAATATATTATTAACACCATTAAATTAATATTTCTTAATTTTAAACTTTCAAAGGCTTAAATTCTAGCAAAATAAAATACCCTATGAATAAAGTGCAAGTAGATTACTTGATGATGAGCAATAATTTAGGTTTGGGTGACACTTATTAGTAAATATTTTGTTATATGTTATAATATCATATTTTGCTTTAAAAAGGCATCACATGATGATTTTGAGTAGAAGAATTACTTAAATGCTAAAATTTTGATGAAAAATGCCCAACGCCACAATGCTAAACCTTTGTTGCACCGCTTCATTCAAACATGGTTCACCATAAGTTTAGAATATAATAATACTATCAAATACATCACCACTACTCCTATAGAAAACCTCAAGCATGCATCTAGTGCTTCAAACTCAAGTTGATTGTTTATGATTTGAAAGCCTAGTTTAATAGTATGGAATAATACTATTAATATTGAACTCTAAGAATATAAAAATCAAATATTGATTCCTTCTAGACTATAAGCACCATCAACATAGAGAGTCCACATTAGGTTTTCCTTTATAGTCACATCTTCCTGAAAGCTAAAATTTGAAAGAAAAAAATCTACTAACACATATACCTTAATAAAGATCCTTAGCATGTTTAAGATTTTAAATTAACCGAACTCCACTACCCAATTGAGAAGTTGTCCAGAGTGTTTTGATTTTACCAGGACTAACTTCAATTGAAGATCAATGATAATAATAATTAATTGTACTCATAAATATGACTAAAGTCTCTATGGAGCAATGATCAAAGTCAACACAAGTTTCTTAATGATCAGATAGTGCAATTCAACTGTGTAAAACTTTGATGCTTAGTAGATCAGCCACTACTTCTTTCCTTCTTGTTGGATGAGGACAAAGCTCATTATCTCCTAAGAAACTCAAATATATAAAATCATGTCCTCCCTTGATTGTAAAATTTAAAGTAGAGCTTAACTTTAATTTTTTCACTTTAGAGGTAGCAAAGGAAAGAGCAACTTTAATTATTAAAAGTTCTTTCACATTCTTTATTTGATAAAAAATTCTTAGTAGTTTAGAACATTAAATAATATAGAACACTTAATTATCACAAATATTTGATATGAACTAACTCAATCTAGCAATTAAACTAGTTTTCCTATATAACTCTTTTGTATTTTAAGAAGGCCTTTCAAGAATTTTTTTACCTTCTTTGGATTCAATGCTATACTATTAATGTCAACAAGAAGCTTAAGAACTTTCTTGACCTAATTAACTCTAAGGGTAACTCTAGGGAATTAAGTCCCATACTGTACTTTTTAGAGTTAAAAATGTTTCTTTTAGAATAAGAATATACTACTATATGGTTTTAATTTTGATTTAAAGACCACCAACATAAACTTCTATGTTTAGCCCCTTTTTGATCTAATAAATTATAATGCATCATCCTTTGATAAGTCTAACCTATATATTTAAAAAAAAAAATGAATTATAATAATAAATTGCATCATAGGTTATGAAGCATTCTTTTCATAATCTACATGTTGTATTTTATTTTATGAGCCCTTAAAAAGCATCCAAAAAGCATATTATATAGTAGCTAAAAGCATATTTAACTAAGGCATTTATTCTTAAGAGTAGAAAGCTATATTTTGGGAAGGTCAAGTTCATATTAGTATTTTTGATAAACATTCATTAATTTCCATTTGATTTTTACACCATTACAATATTAATTGGAATCCACTTTAGATATTAAAATTCTTTGATGAATTCAACCTTAAGGAGCTTTGAACATCACTAAAAAATTTACTTTACTAACATTATTTTAATCAACATAATCCTTAGCTTTATTGACCTTAACCTTTGATGACTATAAGCTTATGCCATGCAAGCTGACAAGATGAATGCATCAACTGCTACCCTTTTGGTTACAATTAACTTGGATATTCTTTCTTAGCCAAAAGTAGTGCTTATTCAAAAGCTATGGTTTTGATTCCCCTAAAAATTTGTATTTACTCATTGTCTCCAATATTCTTCAATCCATATCCTCCTTAAACATCTACTTTGAGAATCTCCTCATGTTCATTTAATAGTGCTTATAAATAGCATATCCTTAAATGTAATAAGTCAACTCTTATTATCACAATATGACCTAAAATAAATTTCATAGTAACGTAATATGTGGATATGATCAAAAATGTATTAAATAAGGGTCGATCGAAGATGTACTTATATATAATATACATGTCAGTTATAATGAATTCTTAAAATCCATAAATGTGAATTGCCTCTCACCTTCCCCCAAACTGATCAAGAATGCAACCATGCCTTTCTTCTCTCTTCACTCCCCATAAAATCTAAGAGAGAACTAAAAGTCATACTTTTAAAAGTAAAAACCACCCTTAATGAGGTCTGCTACCAAGTTGTTAAGGTGATAACACTCTTAATTAGTATCATGTTATGGTATTACACACACATTACTTTGACTAATCACAAAGGTGCCCTCCTACTCCCATGAGCATTTATCTCTGATTTATTTTTTCTTTATTTATTTTGAATGGCATCAACAAGCTTGGTTATGAAGATTCTTAGTAGATTCATTATTGGTAGTTACCAAATTTGAGGTGGCACTAGCCTCTCACACAACAGTCATTTCATCAAACTTCATTTCACACTTTATCATCAAAAGATAAATTTATATATAGAGTTCACTTCTCCTTTGATCATTTTAAAATCTCACTTTGCTCATTTATTTCCAAAACCAACATCTTTTATCCCTCAAAGATAATTAAATTTCCCCTCCAAATAGTACTTATCTTTCTCCACACTCCTCATGCACTAGTATCAATTTAGTGGTCCTTTACATTGAAATGATTATCAATGAGTTTCAATAACTTGGCCAATGTTCTCAACTTTTATAGGCTAAGTGCATAAGTGAAAATCCCTTTCTACATACCTTATGTTAGAGTAGCTTATGCTATAGTTGGAAATTCATTCTTTGCACATAGCACCTCACTTTAGAATTAAGTAATGAAGCTCCTCAATAGCTCGTTTGATTTCGACCTCATTCATGGTAATGCCTATAAATTCTGTAGTGACCTTCATGAGCTTGTAAAGTAGGTGAAAAGCTTTTTCTTGAACTTAAAAAATGAAATGTCCACCCCAAGTGGAAGATGTGAGAACCGCCACCGAATTGATTCCTTAAACGTAGTGAAGATAGTCCACACTTCAATATGTCATCAATGTCATGAAATTCGATAGACAACTCAAACTAAGTGATATGATTAGTTGGACCCATCTTCCATGTATACAAATATAGATGAAGAATTTTGAAAATTCCAAGAAGTTTTGCATTAGTTGTATCCCTTAATAAAAGAAATTATTAACTATGACTTTTTCTTCTTAACATGCCTTTCATCCTGACAAAAAATTAGGTTTGACATGCACCTCGTTATTAGGATAATAGATCTCATATGCCAAGAGACTATATGGCCATGTTTAGCTCAAGAAATTACTTTTCTCCTAATAATAAAAGTGGTAGATAGTGCTAGGACCTCCACTTGAGGATTGGCCCTTAGAATTTGTTATAGGGCTTGTAGGATCATTATCATCATCCTTTTTTAGATTCTATAGGTTGCTTAATAATAATGAATTTATTTTTATTACTTGTATTTATAAATTATTCTTGATATCTATAGTAATTCTTTTGCTTTGCAAAGTACTCCACTTTTAATTTATTATATGCTTGACGTTCATTGGACCTTTGAGAATGCTTAATTCAAAATTTTCAATGAATCACACCGAACTATACTGAGAGTATTGAATAAAAAGAAATTAGAGACAAAAATAAATGAAGAGATCTAGGGTAATAAACTACATGATTTTTTTAAAATATGTTTTAATACATAAAATTGTATAAATTGAACTAACTCATTGACCCCCTATTTAGAAATTTGGGTTAGACTTTGATCAATCGTAAAATATTGATATATAAAAAAATAATAAAGAATACAAACACCATGTAGCTCATGTAAAACGTCCGACTTAAGCAAGTCGCCCAAAGCTTATAAGAATTTGCAAGCTTGTTGCATATAAGTAGATGGATCAACAAATAGCAAATAGATAGTTTCTCATGCAAAGGATGTTATCCACTTGAAGAGTCATTAAGGATAACTTAATGTTATCAATTTCAAAATTTATATTTGATCAAAATGAATTTTAGCAAGTCGGTTAATTCCAAAATTCCAGTGCAGTGAGATAAAAATTATATATCACATGCAAAATAATTGAAATTCCTCTCTCTTCCTCTCTTTATATATATATATATATTATGTTCGTCTACTTTTAAATTGGTTGCTCAATCATAATAAAAATAATTATATTGGAATATATGTGATTAACATTTATTTAATGCATTATAAATTTTATTAACTTCAATACAATTTAAAATATATATATATATATTTATGCAAATTATAGGGTAAAGTTTTTGAAGCAAGGATCCCATCCAGCGTATCTGATTCGCCACGCGGCGAAACGGCCACCATGATGCGAAGAAGATGCTGCTGTACAGCTACGGCCTCTGCAGGATGCCTCGCACGTGTTGGAAGGATCCCTGACACGTGAATGCTTCGGGAAATAGCAAGTCACTTAAAACTGTTATGCGTCGATCTCATCAAAACCGTCCATAACTAAATCAACGGTTTTACTAAAAGCAGCTCGCTTGGAGTCATCAAAATTAATATAATGGTAAATACCGTGGTTTTCCCGCATGAAACTTTCGTCGCATACCCTTTTATTTGGCTTTCTCTCGATCTTTCCCCATTAGGTCCTCATCTTCTCGTATAAATAGGTCATCAAGGTTTACAAGTTTTCTCGTGAAAACTAAGATCTTTTTTTGTTAAGGATTTCTTTCTCGTAGTTGTTGCAAAAACTTGCCGCAATGGGAGATGAAGAAGGGAGAAAAAGTTCATGGACGACCTTGTTGGAAGGGATGAAGCCGGCAATGGCAATGGTGGTGATCCAATTATTCTTCGCCGGTATAAATATCTTTAACAAGCTCGCCATTAACGATGGAATGAACATGAGGATTCTCGTCGCATATCGCTATCTCTTCGCCACTGTTTCCGTGGCCCCGTTTGCGTTCATCCTTGAAAGGTTTGTTTTTATTTCTAAAACAAAGCATCCAATTCTCATCACGTAAAATTTTATTTTTTATTTTTTTTAGCTTTAGATTTGTATGTTCTGCTTTGTTTGAGGTCTGCATTTTATTTCTTGTTTTTTTCCTATTTCTTTTTCTCTTGTTATTTTTCCTGTTCGGGTTTATTCTGTTTTGGATAGAGCGTTTGTTTTCATGATTTGCTGATTATATTAAATCAATTTCTTCGTAAAGATGAAATAATGATCTGAAAATAATAAGACAGTGCCTTTGATTATATGCACTGTATCTGTAAAATTTATTTGGGAATACTATTATTAAATTTATTAATATTTATTTTACGATATTTTAGTTATTGATCATATATCTGTTTTGTTCATATGTTTGTTTTATACTGATTTGATTTGTACATTTATTTCACATCATATATTTTTATTATATAGTTAAAGTGTTAACAGTATAATTTAAGTTTAAAAGGTAAATTGAAGTGAATTATTAGTTATTTACAAATATAATTTTGAGGAAAGAAAATATCGGATAAGATCTTTGGAAGAAAGCCTTTTAATGTATATGGGACTACAAAATATTTCTTCAAGAAAATTTCCACGTAACATTCAGTATATATAACAAATTATTAAATAAGTACATTCGAACTAGTAGATATTTACAATTATAAGCATGATAGAGAATATATATGAGAATCGTAGGATTTAATGAAATGAAAAAAATTAAAAATTTTAAGATAACCATATCTGTGTTTATTTCAATACACAGCTCTTTCTTTATTTTACAATTCTTTGATTTTTTTTTTCCCGACAAATATCCATCGCCAAAGTGCTCTCAGTATTTTTTTTTTTTTTTTTTTTTCATTTTTTTTTTTTTCTATTGTTAAAATTTCCTATTTTCGTCTTCTTTATATAGATTTTTTTATCAGTCGCCATATTGTTGATTGGTTTATGCTTCCAAATTTTTCTTGGGCACTTCTTTCTTAAGTTTTTTATTCCATTTATTAAATTTTTATGGTGATTATAGGAAGAACTGGCCGAAATTAACATGGAAAATCTTGATGCAGGCTTTCTTCTGCGGGTTCTTTGGGTAAGTATAGTTCTTCTTTAAAGTCATCTCATTAATTAACGTTTACAGTAAACCTGTGGTGCTGAATAGATTAATTCACTTCTAAAACATGATGGCTAAACTATAATATTATAGATGTGCTGATTAAGGTTGGATGGTTTTCTTACTGTTTCTTAAAATAATTTTTTAGTATTAGTATAATTTTGTATAAAAAATTACTTTAAGAACCAGTAAAAAAGACCCCAAATGAAGCTTAAGTTTAAGCATTTTATGTGAGAAACTAGTCTTATAATCAACATTAAAAAAAATTATTTAAATAGAAATCAATTTATTAATTTTTTGAACTAGATATAAATAATAATTTATACATAATAATGGTTTTTCCACCCACTTAAATTAAAATGCATAACATTAAATTCATTATTTAATTATGGGATGTGATTTTATTTTAAATCTGAATTTATATGGGAACTGTTTTTTTTTTTTTTTTTTTGGGAAAGTTTAATATTATTTTTCATGGTTAAATTTCTTTTCCTGATTTTTAGGTGTAAAAGGCTGTAGAATGTCACTTCAGTCACAAGAAAAATATGTATAAGCCCACTTGCATCGTCGCCATTTAAATTCAACCAACAGTTATTTTGTTGCCATTAATTTTGTATGGAATACGTTAAGCTAGCGACTTCGAGAGACACTAGAAAGTATATTGTCAACAATTTCACCGGGATTCTTGCCAAATTGTAGACGACTTCTGCATTCCAGGACCATGTGACACCTGTTAATATAACTTTAAAATTAAAACAGTAAAATTTATTTCTGAAGCTGGAAAATATGATGCCCATTGCCCAGTGAATCACATTCAATAAAATAAGCAAGAGTAAGGAATTAAGTCTTTATAGGCCAATCAAACAAAATTATATAAATTCAGTTCATATTATTTTTAAATATAAATTCAGTACATCTGGTAATATCTTATTTATAAATTAGGGTTGGAGCTTAAGCATTATAAAATTGATTATATATATGTCTATGCGGAGAGAGAGAGAATGCAGTAATTATGTAGCATCATAGATAGATCAAACTTTATGGATTCATCTGGTGATCAATTTTGAAGTCCCTGACTTGTTAATCGGTTAATCGAGTAGTTGATCAATAGTTCTTCTTAAGAGATCATCCCTCACTACGTAGTCGCAAAAGCCAACTTCATAGGTAGTACTCTTTAGGGCTAACTATCGCTTTATTCACCAACCTAGATGAGTTCTTGTATCATGGTCACCTACTTTAGGCAAGTTCTATTATATATCGGCATGTTAGAGATTGAATATATTGAGTTAACTTCACTTTTGTCATGTCCATTTAGCTTGAATCATGTTAATTTAGTTTAAACTAATTTTTTAATTATTTGAATTTAAGTTTAATGCTCGGATTCTCATGTCTCTTTTGTGAAACATTAAAAGTAGCAAATTAGCGTTTCAAATAGAATTTGTATGAATGAATATACAAAATCATACTTCGTAGGAAAATGCTTGAAAAGATTTTGAATAAATAATGCTTGAATAGCTTCATGTTTGAAGAATTTCAAAAATGTTACTCTACCTTTTGTATTATTTTTTCTTAGTAAATCAATGCTTAAGATGAGCCTCAACTTTCACAAAAAATTTTGTCATCATGAGGGTAGCCATCTAGCCTTGCCTCATCCAAAGAACTACTCTCACTATTAAATGTGACTCTTCAAAAAAATGGAGGAACAAGACAAAATTGCGAGGACTTTAAGCCAAAGCGGACAATATCTCTATATCTAAGAGTTTGGGTTGTTACATAACTTTCCTTCTGAATATAATCATAAATTTGACCTAATATTTTGGTGTTATATAATATTATTTATTGAATCTCATAAGTTCTTTTTCTTAGAATAAGAGGATGAAATTCATGCTCTACATTAAGTGCAAAAATAACTTAATTTGGTGTAGACTATCTATTAGGGGCCTTAGTTTATCTTTTTTTCATATGGACGAATTTAAATTTGGAAGTAATTTTCTCCAATGTTGAATAAAGTTGTTAATATGTCAACTCTCTAGTATGAAGCCAATTGACTTCAAATTAAAAAAAAATGATTTTTGAATTTTTAGATCCAACTTCCTTGCAAATATTTTCTCATATATTATTCTTCTATTTTTTTCAAAAATTAGAAAATAAAAATAAAACTTTCTAACATAGGAATGAGTTGACTGAATTTTTTAATTTAACTTGATCGAGCATGAAATTTCCTAAGTGTCTAGTGAGTAATTATTGGGTATTGAGTTTTGACTATAGGATTTCCTGAGTGCATGATAAATTCATGTAGTGCATTTCAAGTTTCATGAGTATAATTTTATTAAGTCCTCTCTTTTCACTTCATTTTCACTTTATTTTTCTTAGAATAGATATTTGATGAAACTCTTTACAATATGAATCCTTGACATATACGTTTAGTTGGAGGGTTCTTCTTAAACATTTCACATTGGTTTGAGATAGTCTGCTCATGATTGTAGTAAGTCGCCCACTATTTTACTACTTAATTACTCACCATGAATTATATGATTACATGATATGTAGACTTAACTGCTCAAAAAGTGATTAGTAGTAGTTGATCAAAGATTACATTATATATATTCAATATGTTAACTGTGATGATGTCAGCCATGCATACTAGTGAATTGTGTTTCTGCTTCTCCTTAGTAATTAAAAAGGTGATTATCCCCTCTATCTCTTTATATTCCTGAAAAAATGTATACAAAGGACTAGATGTTGGAACTAAGCGAGAAGCACCAAGGTTCATCCTCTCATATATTCTTTAATGATGAGCTCCCTAAGTATATGTTGATGCTACTGATTTGATAATTTGTGATGAGTGTTGTGTTTATCACTGATTTGATAATTTGTGATGATCACTACATCATTGTATGGATTGCCATTCATAAGTTGTTCAATTTTAGTGAAGAAAAGTGGGGCACCTCAATAGTATGTTCCCTCAAGATGCTCATTAAGTTTAATTATTTTGACTTAAGTTATTTGAAGCTTGTTCAATGGGAAACCTCTTCACTTACTCCTCCTTGGATGGTGGAAATTGCCAAAGTGATGTGAATTATTGGTGCTAGGACTAATTCACTGCACATGTTATCTATTTGTGCTTTTTATGGCTTTCATCCTACACTAGCAAGAACAAACTCTTTAAGTTCTTGCTTTATGAGTTCCTCTGTCAAGTTCTAGTGGTGTCGAATCCTCATTATTGTAGCCATGGTCAAGTTAGTAGGCTTAGTACTTTGATTGTTGACTTAGGTGACCAACAAATCTTATGGCCTTCAACCACTTAATGATTTCTATATTTTAAATGCCCTTGATTATCCTGACCATGAAAACTTACAACAAAGTTAAAGTCAATAATAGGAAAATAGGATGTCATCGTGGACTCTCACCATAGAGATCATCGTTCCATTCTTCATTGTGTGCTCGCACATCATAGGGATGAGTTCTATAAGGTAGGGTGCAGATCTCCTCGAATCATGATGGTTCCTCATGTCATCCCTTAATTGATAGGGTAACTTCTTCAGTCCCTAAAATTTTTTAGAAATTTTCCTCTCATATAGTTTCTTTCCTTTCTACTAGCCATAATAGAGGCACTAGTCTCCATCTTGTGTCCTTTAGCATTTATATGACTCTTGGCAAGTTCAAGAAACTAGGCCAATAAATTTTATCACATGCTATAAGCCAAGTGCATACCAAAAAGATCCCTCTTGTAAACTTTGGGTGTAAGTCATTATGGTAATACTTGACTAAAAATTCTTCACATCAAGCTTTGCTTTTGAAACTACGTAATAAAATTCCTTGTCGATTCACACGATTCTTTTCCCATTCACAGTAATGCTTAGGAGTTCATTAGTAGCCTTTATTTGGTGGCCAATTGTGTCAAGAACATTTTCTTAAAGTCAAATAAGGAAGTAATGATACTGAGTGACTGATGCAAGAATCACCTCAAAGGTGATTTCTAGAACGTGGTAAATAATAGCCTACACTTAAATGCATCATTGATATCAATAAGAGAACTAACGCAACATAAGAAACATGGTTGGTGGTATTTATCCTTCATTTGTATGGATCTAGATATGAGAAGCACGGAATAATTTCTCTTTTAATAAACTTGTGAGTATGAGACAAGCAGATCAACTTATCTTGAGTTGGCCGACTTAGCTTGAATCGGGTTCATTTAGCTTGAATCAAAACTTTAGGATATTATCGAAACATGCGCGTATAATATGTTGTAGTTATTTGGTTGCTTATAGACTATTCACATCTTTGATATTTTTTATTTATTTTATTGAGATCTATACTGGACTTAAATTTTATGCTTATTTTTAATTACATCCACATGATGTAATCTAGTTACTTTTACATACATTTATACATTCATCACATGAAAATTTTCTTTTATATATACTTGAATTTATACATTTATATGTTTTGTTGGATAATATCTGAAATTCTGTAGCATTTTCAAATTTTTCATAATTTTCAAACATAAAATTCCTGCACGATGAAAATCTTGTGGATGAAGAATCCAAAAGAGTAAGCACTTTACATTCTTTCTTATATTTCTTAATTTTGTACTTATTCTCATTTATTCCTAAGTCAACTTATCACACCCTCATTTTCCTGAGATTTGTTAGTCATGGCCGTGGTCCCGCTTGGTTGGTGCATGTCACTCACATCTATTCTAATTAAAATCATATTTAGTATTAAAGTGAAGGTCGCAGCGCATAGAATTCTTTTTATTATTATTAAATTACGGACTTCATAGGATAATTTTGATTATTTTTATAGACTGATCTACACCAACGAGAGAGTATAAATAATTATAAAGATTCGCTTATGTGTGAAAGAATAAATAAATAAATTTGAAGATACGTCATCAAAAGTTATCATAATGAGAACCAAATCTTGATGCTTTTTTGAATTGAAGATTTTCAAATTTAAATTCGAGATCATCTGAATTAGAGGTATCAAAATCAAGTTGCGGGTCGGATTCATGTCAAACTCGACCTTGACTTGCTTTTGTTCGACACTACCCGAACCCGAACTGCTTTTTGCAAATGGGTCAGATTTTACAAGTCGAACCTGACCCCTGAAAAACCTGGGTCAACCAAACCCGACACGGCTGACCCGGGGTTGGATAGAAATCACAGGTGAAGCAGGCGGACATGGGTTCGACTAGGCTATACGCGCGACAACGGGGGTGCAACTGAGCCGGAGTACCGGATCGTGCGAGCAGGCGGAGCAACGAGACAGGTTCGACGTTGCAAGTCATGCAGTTAGGGATTGCGTCTGGGCCTTGAGGGTGAGTCAGCAGGAACCATAGTGGTGGATTATGATGCTTTCACCAAACCTAGCTTAAGTTGAACCTAGCTTAAGTTTACTCAACCTATGTGTGTTGACCAAGTGAACTCCACCCTAGAGAGCTAGGATAGAGTTAGGGAGTTTATATAAGTCAATTGAATTAGATATAGATGATCAGGGCAAGCCAATTTAATGCATAAAGTGATTTGAGTCACATTAGACTAGTTCGACCCAGTCTAGGTGAGTTGAAGTAATCTAGGGTTGTGGACGTTAGGAGGATATATGAATTCATTGTAGTGAATTTAAGTGATTCAAGCAAAACTAAATTGGGGTCAACATAGGGTTTGGCCTACATTGAACTAGCTTGACATGACTCAAGTAGGTTGACTAGATTAACCCTTTGCTATAGAATCTAGGATTGATGGATTTGATGAGTGAATAGATCATTTGAAGGTGTGCTAAGATATACTAGGTGTTCAAGGTTTAAGCAAGAGTTCTGAGTTCAAAGGTCTCAACTAAAAATGAAGTCAATGTCTCTCATTGAAACAAAAACATCCCAACTCCCTCTATGTGACGACATAGTGATGTTATGGTTATGTATGAATAATTTCACGGTGCTAAGCTCTCTTTTTAACACCAAGATTTTTCCTCGGGTGCTACAGAGCTGGGCTATGTGACGACATAGTGATGCATTAAAATTGCCTTTGTTTAGTCACATCCGTGAGAATTTTCTATAGAAAAAAATATTTAAGTTTTTTTCATGCAAAAACTCATACTTAAAATATTATTTTTTCTAACTTAACACCTATGTTCGTGCTATGAGAATACCAAATAATTAATAATGTCTTTAGAATTGACCAAATTTAATCATTTTTGTAATTCACCAAAATTGAATTAGCAGCTTCATTTAAAATACTTTAAAATTTTACTCTATACTTTTTTTTTTAGTTTAGTTTAAACACCAATATTTTTAAAACCATTGCAATTGGAATGTTTTACACCCCTTTTACTACAAACCAAATATCTCTTTAGTTGTCTAGAAATTATGACCAAATTTTTCTCTCCACTAAAAAATTTTGGCCAAATATTTTTTTCCTCAATTGATAACAAATGTTATGGTGTTTAGTTCTGTCTTCGTAAGATAAGTGGATGAAAAAGATGACGAAACGTTAGTTTGACATCAAAAGATGTGATTGGTGTTTTTAGGGGGAATGCGAGGAAATTAGATGTGCTTAGTTAAAAAAATTCAATATTAGTTTAGTTTGGGCTAATTTGGTTTCATTTAAAAGATCTTTGTAGGATATGTGTTTTAAATAGGATAAAAAGAGGGAAATAATATTTTATAGCTAGCTTTATATATGGACTAATTATTTATAGTTAATGATAAAGTTTATTGGATTTTACATGAATGTCGTGGAGGAGGGAATATGACTAGTCTAATCGAGAGATATTGTTGGGGGTGGGGCTTTAGTGTGCTTTAGATAGTTGGATTGTGTGGTGGCTCGTCCTAGATGAGGTTTAGTATGGAGAGTAAGATGTTAGAAAGATTAAGCGTGGGTTTTAGTTGATGTGGGATAATATTTGATAAAAAAAGATAAAAAGGATAACCATATAATCTCATCAGAAAAAGGACAACTCTTGAAATCACTATGTGATCATAAAATGATGATTAAATCTCCACCAAAATATATCATTCAACAAAAAAAAAGCCCAGCAAGACCATTTCTTCTCTTTTTCCATGTCTAAGGAAGCAGGCAACCCTATCTACTATTTCCTCCAAAAATATTTGAAAGACAGCCCAACATCTATCGATATCCATAAAAAGTTTAAAATCTTTTCTTGGATATTTCCTTTTGCCCCCCACAAAAAAACACACCATCCTGCTAATTATGTTTCATTTAATGGTTTTTAATGTTTATAATATGAGTTAGCTATCTGCCCTACTTATTTCTTAAGATTGTTGGCACATTACGAGCTTATCCAACTCCAAAGCACCCTGAGAAGATATTAGGTAATATAGTAAGTTTTACAGAAATCCCCACAAGACAGCAAGTTAGCTTAAAAAATAGCAAGAACATTTTGTCTTCTTAAAAGTTCAAAATTCCTTGAAAACTATTGGTTATCTCTCGCCTTTGCATAACTAAATTTCTCTTGTATGTACAATTTGGTGTACATGCCAAATCTTGCTTTTTTAATTAACATTAATCCTTTATTTGGTACCCGGTTTACTTCTATGAAAAACTGTTGTGTTCTAATGTTTTGCCAAACTAACTTGCAGGGCTACGTTGGCGCAAAACCTATATGTGTCTAGTATAAAATTAACATCTGCAACTTTTGCCTCAGCCATGACAAACCTTGTACCAGCCATAACTTTCATCATGGCTGTCATATTCAGGTATAAATAACCTTTACATTCAATATTATTTTCAAAACCAACACACCAAAAGCCTGATGAAAATTAACATAATATGTTACTATTCTAGATTAGAGCATTTAAGAATCAGAACAAAATCAGGGAAAGCAAAGATACTAGGAACACTCGTTGGAGTTTCCGGTGCAACGATCCTCACCTTCTTGAAAGGAAAAGAAATCAACCTCCCAACAAATGTCAATCTTCTAAAATCACATAGTAATGGTGGAAATCAGATGGCTGCACTACGCCAAGATTATGGTAATCGCATCATGGGCTTTATTATGTCTCTAGGAAGTTGTTTCTCTTATGCAATCTGGCTGATAATTCAGGTGAAATTAGAATGATAGTGCCTTGTTGATATTGTTTTTTATGTTTTCATACTTTTTATATATTTGTCTTCATCGTTATGAAATAGGCTAAAATGAGCAAGGACTATCCTTATCATTACTCGAGCGTTGCAATCATGTGCCTGATGGGTTCGGTTCAATCTATAATTTTTGCTCTTTGCATGGAGAGGAATTGGGAGGATTGGCATATGGGCCTTGGAATTCGACTTTACTCTGCAGCCTACACGGTAACTGATCTTCCAAGTTTTGAGTAAGTTGTTGCTTATTGTGCACACATATATATACATACATAGGGACAGTAGTGCTGTTAGTATACAATAATGACATAGACATTTAAAATAAAAATACAAATTTAAATAATCTTTTTATGTGATGTATGGAACTGAGAATCTGTCAGAGCATCAAATGTATGAGACAATTACATACATAACAAATCATTTCTTTACATTTGGATGTGATGTTCTAAAATAAAGCATAGATAATACATTAATTTTATGGATCATTTGGTAGATCGTAGTTAGAAATCACGTTTTCAAAATAACGAGCTTCATTAATTTCATCATTTGGTTGGACATAATTAGAGATGAACATTTCAAATATCCTTAATCTTCTATTCAAATATCATTACAATATTAAAATGAGTGAAAACTAAATCATTAGTTTCTAAAACATAATTTATATTTATAAGAAATCAAATGATAATTAAAAGTTTCCTATAGCATGAGCAATTTAAAAATGGTTTCTTACTTCACTCTATTTGACTTGACACCTTGTTTAAAATCTTCTTGCTCAAAATATTTCATTTTTCTGTAGGGTGCGGTTGGTTCAGGTCCCATACTTTCTTTACTCGCTTGGTGCATAAATAAAAAGGGTCCACTTTATGCCTCTGTGTTTAACCCTCTCATGCTTGTGATTGTGGCCATTTTTGGATCCTTATTACTTGATGAGAAGTTACATATTGGGAGGTATATAATTCTTCTCTCAATATTTTATTATAGTTGCTTTGGATGCTTTCATTTCTCCTCATTGCATAGATTTTAATGCTTTCATTTGAATTAAGTGTCATTTTTTTTTGGTTTATCTATTACAGTATTATAGGAGCTGTGTTGATTGTGATTGGATTATACTTGGTGTTATGGGGCAAAGGTAAAGAAGCGGAAGCATCAAATATTGGAAAGTTTCCTACACATAAAGAAACTACTGATGTGGGGGTGGAACCTACAAAAGTTGAGTTGCAGAATGGAAGTGCACTTTCAGATGATGTTGATGAACCAAAATAAAGGGAGCAAGAAAAAAGTGGAAGATTGAAGATGTAAGCTTTAAATTTGGGATTAGTGGAAATGGTAGAGAAAATAAAAAGAAGATAAGGGATTCATTATTAGTGCAACAATTTATTGAGTATGTTATAAGCATTTTTTGGGAGTCAAATATTGTGGGCTTTAGGTTGAGCTAATACACTAATGAATGGGCCCTCATTAAAATGGAAAGCTAATTGATAGAAGTTTCCATAATTATTTAATAAATTTTATTAGCTCCTACTTTCCCTTGTAATGTTGAATTTTTTTTCTTCTATTGTGTCTATTTCAAAGTCAATCCCTCAAAATCCTATATAATTGTAGTCTTTTTCCCATAACTAAATATTTTCATTTGAGATTGCAATATTTAATATATTTTTTGTGGTTTGAGTGGGGCATTTGCAACTCATGGTGATTATCTTTCTTCGCAGTTTATTTTTAGCTATTTATATCTACTTGAACAATCATTAAATACATGCATCTAGATAGATGTTACATAATTTTATTATTATTATTATTATTATTATTTACATAGATAAACAAGATATCTTCAACTCAGAATTTATCTCCACCTCAAAGAAACCTGTAGTAAAGACTACTTTTCTTAGGAAGGATGACTTTATTTACCATCTATCAATTTGAATGATTAATGATATGTTAAGCTTACCCTTTCTTGTCTATATAACTTTAGATCGCATCCTCTTGTTGGTAAAACTTTCACTTATAAATAATCCAATCAAAATTATTTGCCTAAATCCTGTAAGAGTAATGGACAAAAATCTACCTAGTTATGAAGTGGATAGCCTAAAATTAGGTATCATGCATGCAAAGCTCATTTATTTTGGGGGAGCTTGTGTGGGATTCCCCACTTTTTTACTTTGCTTGATAAAGAAAGAAGTCATTGTGGTCCATAAATTTTCCCTCCAATTAAAAATAAATCATATCCAAGCATTTATAATCTAATGAGGAAAATGACCCTTAAAAGGATTACTCAACCTAATCAAAGGTGTTTAGTTTTAATACCACTCTCTTAAAATTAGTAGTATATGACATGATTTGCTTAGCTAAAAAACTCAACTTAATTTCAACTACTTCTCATGATCCTAACATTTCCTCTATCATTTCTTGAAACTATTGTTCACTCCCTTCTTTTTTTCTGAAATCCCCATGCCTAAAAATTTCATCTATATCTATCTCAACCAATTCTATCCAGCTGGTGACTTGGAGGGAATCATTGAGGCCTACACATGGAGATTTCATTTATGGTTTTTATTTTGGCATTGAAGAGGTTGAATTGCATCAATATTTCAATTTATTGTCTGCTTTATTTATATGGAGAGAAAGGTGAAGCAGGCGATACGGTGGATCATTCTTATGTTCCAGTACTCTGGTAAAAATTTTTAAAAAAGGGCTATTTGGTTAAAAATTCAAAATAGGAAGGATGCGGATGAATTCTGTAAGCTCATTTTGTAATTCTTGTTTCTGTTTTGGTTTGGTAGTTGGCTGAAAGGTTTTGCAAAATGTTTCTCTTCATCTGTGGAGAGTTTTTGCTTGGTCTGTGATGAGGCTTCCCCACCCAACTATGGATGGCCACCGCATTGGTCTTGGCAACCATGCTGCTTGCTGCCTCTTCCGTCCCCTAACATTGGTTTTACTCTTCAAATACATTTTTATTACTTATTTTCTAGCATGCCGCACCATTGGATGGCCCTTCACTTAGTAATTAAGCTAGGAGCATCGAATCAGAGAGAGAGAGAGAGAGAGAGAGAGAGAGAGAGAGAGAGAGAGAGAGAGAGCTGTGTGTGACTTGTGGAGAAGAAAGCAACATAAGAAAACTTCTCTGAGTGCATCTAGGAGGTAAGAGACATAGTTAGTGTGTTCATTTTTCTCATTGTTACTAGCTTTTTCTTCAAACACTGAGATCCATATTTTACTTTGAGTCATTCTTATTTCTGTAAGATAGTAATTTTTGTTATATATTCAAGAAGGCATTAAAAAAAAAGCAAATAAGCATTCCTCTACAAATTCTATGAGTTTTAAGTGATGTTTATATTTTGTTAGATGGGTTAATGAGTCATGTTCTTCTGTTTTGTTATCTTTTATGTCTATTGGTCACATTTTAGCAAATGAAATAATGGTTTGAAGTCCCATGCCCATAACCTCTTCCTGCATAGCTCATTAATTCAAAGAAGTAAACTTATTTTCATTTATTTTGCTTTTTGTTATAAAATCATGGGCAGAATTTAGTTAATTGATGTCGTTTTATATGCATAATATTTAATGGAAGTTCCTTATTATATATATATATATATATATATGTTTTAAATGTTTTATTAGTTTAGTGCAAAGTTCATACTAATGTGAATGTAGAATGTCCTCTGTAAAAACAAAATTTTGGAACAATCAATGGAGAATGGGCTTGGATACAATAAGCAGGATGCCATGGCATATTCTTCAAAAAATTTTGCAAGTGTTTATGTCGTGTGATGGATCTATTTTATAAGTATAAAATGTCTTACATGTTAATCAAAACTACCTTTATAAATTTCAGGGGCAACAAAAAAATGGTGATAATGAACTTTTGGTGAGTTGAATATCATTCTTGATAGATTAGAATAATATGTGTTAGATGAAGTTCCTCTTATGTTTTAACAAAGCATTTGTTGAATGCATCATTCGTTATCAAAAATATAAAAGATGCTTGCATTAATCAATAGTACGGGATGTTAAATGCATGCTTCATATCAATGAACAATGAATAAATGGAAAGTTTTTTATCCATATTTGTGCTCCATAAACATGTGTATGTTCAATTGTCTAAGATCCTTGATTAGATTGGAAAATTTCATATTCTCTTTTGTGCTTTAATATTAGATGCAAATGCAATTTCTTTAATGAAGTCCTCTTCTCTACTCTTTTCTTTAAATTCTTGCAATAAAAGAGAAGAGCGTTGTTATCTATTTTGGTGGGTTTATGCAAATATGAAATGGATGTGATGAATTACGAAGTGTTGAGGCGTTCTTGTGAGAAGTTACAATGTGTTTAAATGCTTCTTGTATATAAGAGTGATATGCTAAAATTTCTCTCTTATTTACTTCCACTCATCTTCATAGTTTCTTTTCCTGCATCCATTCTTCATTAACTAATAAGTTAGAGTGATGGCTATATTGGAAGGATTGATTTCTTGGAGGGAAGTGATAATTTTCTTTCATATAAGAGTATTATTAGTTGTATGAAGGGGGTATGCATGTTTGGCAAGGAGGGGATTATAGACTTTGAAAAGAGAAATAAATTGACATTAGTATTTTTTCCCATTGTAACCTTTTCTTTCTTCCACTTCCTTCTCTCTTCTCTTTCTATAACTTCGGATGAGTTCAACATTTCCTAATGCTGATAAAGAAGCATGAAGAAAGGAAAATGTTCATTATTTCAAATAATTTTTTTGTTTATTCCCTTACAATTTAAATAATCATTTATCTAACCATTTTTTTCTTTGTTTTTTTGTTTATATTACTTGCAAGGGACAATGGTAAATATTTGAGTAGTGAAGTTTGGAGAACAAACCTAGGAACCAAGCATAAAAAAAAATGATTCTATCTTACTTAAAATAAATTCATGTTTATTCATATTTTTCATTTAAAAAAATTCTTTTGCTGACCACTATCGTCCTTTCTTGTTTTCTTGTCTATTTTGGGAGAAATAGTGGTAAATAACTTGGAGATCGAAGCTTAAAGGATTCGGTCACCTCTATTTCTTTCAAATGGAGATCTATGATCGAAAATCACCAAACATGCTCTGGTGAGGTAAATTTTCTAAAACTTAAAAGCCTTAGATCTTTAAAGACATGTGTGTATGAGTGTATAGAACTTCACCCTAAATCTTAGGTCCTTGTAGACCCAATAACCCATTAGCGTGTAGGAATATATTTGTTAATTTTAAATTTTTGAAGCACATTGCTTTGATTGGATACCCTATCTTAGATCCTATACATATTGCTAGGATAGAAATCTTTTAACATTTAGGAATTGAGTTATTTGATTATATTAAGCTATAATTTAAATAATTGTACAACAACAACATCTAACCTTTGTCCCACTATGTGGGGTCGGCTACATGAATCCTTTTTTTTCATTGTGTCATGTTAACAGTAAAATTCTCATTCAAATCTAATAAAGAAATATCATTTCTAATATTTTCTAACTAAGTATTTTTAGGTCTACCTCTATCTTTCTTAACACAAGTCACCTCAATTTTCCTAACTGGGTCATCAGAAGGCCTCCATTTAATGTGACCAAACATTTTAAGGCGACTCTCTCTAAATGTATCTTCTACTGGAGCTACTCCAACCTTTTCACATATATGCTCATTTCGTATCCTATCTCAAAGGGTAAATTTACTCATCCACCTAAGCATCCTCATCACTGCAGCACTTAACTTAGAATTATACTTCTCTTTTAATGACTAACATTCAACTACATAAAGCATTGCAGTTCTCACCACCATCTTATAGAATTTTCCCTTAAGTTTGAGGGGGCCTTTTCTATCTCACAATAAGCTCGATACATTAGGGAACCCATTTGAGCAATCAAAGCCATTAGATTGCAAAGAACATAATATATTAGTTCAATTAGATGTTGAAAGGCGTGAAAATGAATATCTATTAAAGAAAATAAGTGCTCTTCAACAGAAAGGCCTAACTTAGGACACAACATGTGTTATATATTCTTAGGAGGCATTACCCCTCACATAGATCAGTGAACCCATTTCTAGGTGTTAGGTGTCACTCTTGTGGAATGGTGAGTTTACATTGCCTGAACTTGCAATCTACACTTTAAATCACACCAAATTTAGAGGCCCAAATTAGCACCACAGTATCGCATGCATAACATTCATGCATGGAACGATGAGGGACCCAAACCACTTGGGTTCCTAAAATTGATATTAAATTGAGTTTGTAGGTGTAGTCTCATAAGAGGTCCTGTGAGAGCAAATAGTACATGCACAATAGATACAACACAAAAAAAATAGATTTCAAATCTCTTATCCTACTGAAGGATATGAATCAGTTGGAGCTACATTTGGAGATTATACTATTAGAAAGGTAGCACATGTAGGCATTACTAGTAAAATGAATTATGTGAGTAAAAATATTTTGTAGAATGACAAATACAATTTTTTAAGAATTATTCAACTGTGATAAATTTTTAATATTAAATCTATTTCTACAAAATA